GGTCTGGGTCTCTGCTGAGGCTGCTGCCCCTGAGACCTGACCCTGGATAAGAGGAAGAAAACGGACAGACAGACGGCAGATATCTCTACATTAGGGTTTATCTTCTGAAACATGGACCTAAACAGCAAGCATAAACAAGTAGTGCGAAAGTTGTTCCAATGTTAATTCACACTTTCTGATTTAGTTTGTTTACATGAAACGAGTCATTGCACTAATCATTTGATGCCTATTCCATGAAAAATACGTTACTCCAACTAGGCAAGGGCCCATCTGAGATTCTGTGATAAGACAGGTACAATCGTTTTACTGTGATGAAACCAGCAAATTAAAACGCATCCCATGATTTATTTGCTTTAATTTAAAAACTAAATTGTAATTGCTGTTATCTTTGCTGTCAAAATCATGAGTGGGAAACCTCCTCTGTGTCCACTGAGGTTTTTACTGAGTCCCAAGTGTCACAATCAGTTTTAATAAGATGTGACAAATATGAACTGATAAAACTACAATTGTCTTTTTTTGTGCATTTATTTTACAAATCTCAATTTGTAGGTTTTTGTTTAAAAAAATTGCTGTTTAAAAAAAAATCCAATAATATAACATCAACTCAATATCTTCAAAAACAAAATGAAGCATGAACAGTATTGAGTATAGATCGTATATACTGTAATACAAATGCTTATTTTAAATTTTCCATTTCTGTTCGGATTCAAAAATATATWTTTTTCTCTTCAGTACAAACAGGTGTGGTATTTTGTAAGCTATCCTGATGCAGTCAGGGTGAAGGAAAAAGAAAATAGTCATTATGATTGTCTGTCTGACAGCGGCTGCATCATCACACCCACCTAATGTGATGGTTGGACCTGCTTCTACTCAGCCAGCGCCTGATGTCAGCGGGAAAAGACCATGATGCAACYCACAGCTCATTTGGGTGGGAGTGTTGGACCAAAACGACTCTTTGACAGAGTCAGTTCAGATAATACATGCTCACAGTGGCTTGTTGTCCCAAACACAGATACTAGGTTGAGGTCACGYCTTTAAGTTTGGGAGAATCTTCAGTCTGTAGACGTCTGGCAGAGGAAGGTTGTTGTATTTGGCTTTGTGTTAGTGGTTTCTTTAAAGTTCAGTGGTTTCCAGTTGGAGGATGTTTGGCACATCAGATGGCTTCACATTAAATAGTGACACATAAAAACTGCTATTCATGCTGTAGTGATGGTTGCCGTCATGTCACAGGCCAGAGAAAAACACTCAAAAACTCTTGATATGTCCCTTTAGCGTTTTCTGAATACAATCTGCCAATTCAGTGTTGCTGTCTGCAACTGTTCTTCTGGACAAACTGATGTTTTCTTTGTCAGGAGCTAGCAGCTCTGCTGCAGCAATGATTCATGCCTTAACCTCTCCCTCTGCATGAGGATTCAGCTTCTTTGCTAATAATTCAGTCATCGTAGGGTTGTTTCTGTCGCTCTGTGGTCATGTAGACACCAACTGTTCGGCATCGAAACTCTAAGGAAGAGCAGGAACCTAACTGGTCCACATTTGTCCATTCATAGGGCTGCAACTAATCATTATTTTGATAGTCAACTAATAAGTCAAAGTTTTTCAGTTAGTCAATTAGTCAACGAGTATTTTCATTTGTCACTGACATAGACTTAAATATAAATATGACTAGACTGAGCCCCGCCCATCCCGTCCACTGGTAATAATAATAATAATAATAATAATAATAATAATACATTTTATTTCAAAGGCGCCTTTCTGACACTCAAGGACACCATACAAAGAGTAAAAAGTAACAGAAACAAATAAAATGTAACAATAATGGTAGTGTCTGTGACATCATGGAGGAGCAGAAACAGACCAAACAGGACAACAGCTCACAGCAAACATAGAAAC